CCCCCCCCCCCCCCCCCCCCCGCCTCACCCAGAAAAGGAGAAAGCCATCTCCCTGGGAGCACCCCACAGTAAGAAAGACCTCAACCTACCAGAAGAGGATTCGTAAGATATTGGCCACCAGGAGCACCAGACATACGTAGGTCGAGAAGCCCTCGGCGTTCTGAGTCCTCCGGATGTCCCTGTACTGCGGGATGTATGGCACCACCCCTCCGAAGACCATGGCCCCAGCTGCCCCCCAGGAAACCAGCTGGTGCAGCGGGACCAAAAGCCAACCCAAGCCTTCTGCGTCCATCCCGAGCGTCCGGCGGCCCCGCCGGCAGGCTGACGTCCACCTGGCCCACGCGCGCTCCGTGCTCTCGGGCTCCTGGCGCGCGCGCTGTCACCCTCACATGCCGCCGCTGCCCTGAGCCGTCCTCCGTCGCGGGGCCTGGCGAGAGAGGAAAAGCGGTAAAGCACTCGGGCCGGGCCCCCACGCCCAACGGGGGGCGCACCGCCGGGCTCGCGGCTGGGGCACGACCCCCTCCTCCGGGGCGCCGGCCCGGGGTGGACTTTCAGTTCGGGGTGGGGGCTCGGTTCCGCGGGAGGGGGTCGCACAGCCTGGGGGTCGGAGGGATGGGAGGAGGGGGGAAGAGGGTAGACACTGCCCAGGGGGCCCGGCCCGGGGTGGACGCTCAGCCCAGCGCGGCGCTCGCGTCCACGCACACTGCTGACCCCGCCGGGCTCACCCGCGCTGGCTGCTCCCTGCGGTCCGTCCACCCTCCTTCTGTCTGTCCAAGCGCCGGGCCCCGCCTCGGCGTGACGTCACAATACGTGATCCCGCCCGCGCCGGGCGGAGGGGCGGGCGCCGCTGGGTCCTAGAGCGCGCCGGTGGGCCGGGAGGTGGGGGCGGGACCCGGGGCGAAGCCGGGTGTCGTGGGTCGTGGGTCGCGGGTCGTGGTCAGGGCGCTCCGTGGGCCCACCCGGCCCGGGTTAGGAAATCGCTGCCTGGCGGGGCCTCTCCTGGGCCAGGGGCCCACGTGGACCCGGCGCCATCAGTCCCGCGGCGAGTGGCCTTGTAGACGCGGCGCGCCGCCAACGGGAGCAGAGGACCGGGTCCTGTCGCCGCCCCGAGGGTCAGCGCGAGGCCTGGGGACGACCCCCTCGTGGGGACTCGGGCAGGGTCTGAGCGCCCCGTGATTCCAGGGGTCCTTCCACCTTTCATGGTCTGCCCGGGTCTGTGGGGCTCCCCATCCTGAGCCGGGGCGGGTCCCTGAGGGGCGGCGTTCGGAAGTTTGCAGAGGGCCGGGGCAGTTTCGGCCAGGCTGGGGGGCCGGGGGCGCGACTCCTCGGGGAAGCGAAAGCCCACCCGCAACCTGAAGCCTCTGAAGGTCCACTCTGGCTCTTCGGGGCCCAGGGCGGCAGCAGCCAGGACTGCTGTCCACAAGAGCGTTAGGTACCTTGTCACTGAAGACAGTGCTGGCCGGTGGAGCTCGGATCTGCTAAGGGTACGTGCTTCATCTCGACCGCACAATTCTAGCACTTACAGAGAGAGAAAATAGGAATTCCTGGGTGTATCACCTGACCAAGGTGAGCCCTCGGGAGCTCGAGGGAGGTAGGTGCTCAGAACCCAGATGCTGGTGGGCGAGGGAGGGGTGGGGGTCAGGGAGGGCCCTGTGAGAAGCCAGCCAGCCAGCCCGCCCAGGAGCCTGTGCAGCCGGGCCCAGAGCAGAGAAGACCGCCTGCAGGCCCCCAGGATTCTGTCTACAGAGGAGCTCCCCCAGGGCTCCCACCCCCACCACAGCAAGCCCAAATCACCCCGAAAGGGAAGGCCTGCCGGATGAGAGAGGGGGGGGTCCCCAGGGGCACACAACCGGCCAGCCAGCTTCCTAGCTAGTACACTTCGTGGGAAATCCTAAGAACAGGTACAACCTCACTTAGAGCAACTCCCAAACGAGCCTGGTGATAAGGAGAGCTCTCCGTGAAACACAGGTTGCTATAAGGAGAGCTCTCCGTGAAACACAGGTTGCTCTCATCCTCCCCAGCCTCTGAGGCCAGTGTACTTCTGAGTATCCACCAGAGAAGGCCGAGAACACAGCACAAGAAATGTACAAGGAAATAAAACACAGGCGGAGAAGGAAGTCCTGGAGGGGCTGGAGAAGAAAAGTAGGTGTTCCTCCTTAGCCAGATCCTGCCCCGAGCTCTGGAGCCTCCAGAATGTTCTGTCCTCTTTATGGTGGATGTTGGAGTAGGGATATAGTCTTCCCTCCCCACTCACTGGAGCATCTGAGGCCACTGCATCTGGCCCTGTTTGTCCTGGAGTACATGGGCAGAGTGGCGCCAGCCCATAGCCAGCTGCTGCCCTGGACCCATCAGCTGTGCCAGATGGAGCGTGGACAGCAAGCACCTCCAGAGCCCTGTGAAGTGGATACAATCTTGCATATTCTTGATCCAAGATTTTGCCCCACAGAAGGGGCCTGTAATCCTTTCGAACCCCACCTGTCTGGAGTAGAGGGGCACCCACTGGTCCAGAGCCATCGCTCAAGCAGAAGGAGAGAGCTCATGTCAGCTGCAGCACATTACCTGGCTTCCTGTGTTACAAACAAAAGAAGCCGACCAAACTGCAGTCTGAAAAATGAAACCCAGGACTAACACATCCTAGTTCCCGGAACCTGTGAATATTACCTTCTGTCAAAAGAAAGAAATTGCAGATGTGATTAAGTTAAGGACCTTGCAATGCAGAGATTATCCTGCATTATCCAGGTGGGCCCTAAATGCTATCACGTGTATCTTTATAAGAGAGAGGCAGAAGGAGACTTGAGACACACAGAGGCCATGTGATGACGGAGCAGAGAGAGATTTGAAGATATGGCCTTGAAGGTTGGAGTAATGCAGCCCAGGAATGCTGGCAGCCACCAGCAGCTGGCAGAGGCAGGGAGCGAATCCTCCCAGGAGCCTCTGGAAGGAGCAGAGCCCTGCCAGCACCTTGATTTTGACCCAGTTAAACTGATTTCAGACTTTTGGCTTCCAGAACTGTGAGAGAATAAATCTTTGCAGTTTTATGCCACCCAGCTTGTGGCAATTTGTCACAGCAAACCACTGGAAACTAATATAGAATCCATAAAGTGAAGGAGAAACACTTTCTCAGAAAAAAATGACGCCAAGGAATTTATTGCCAGCAGACCAACCCTGTAAGAAATGGTTTGGTTTTGGCTGCGTTGGGTCTTCATTGCTGTGGCTTTCTCTAGTTCCAGTGAGCGGAGCTACTCTTCCTTGTGGTGCGTGTGCGGGCTTCTCACTGCGGTGTCTTCTCTTGTTGCAGAGCATGGGTTCTAGGCACACGGGCTTAGTAGTTGTGGCGCACGGGCTTAGCTGCTCCGCGGCATGTGGCATCTTCCCGGACCAAGGCTCGAACCCGTGCCCTCTGCATTGAGCAGGCAGATTCTTAACCACTGTGCCACCAGGGAAATCCCCAACACTGGAGGAAATGTTAAAATAAGTTATTTAGTCAGAAGGAAAATTGGATCTTCATAAAGAAACGAAGAGCCTCAGAGAAAGAATAAATGAAGGTAAATCTTTATTTTTCTTATTCTTAATCTAAAAGATTATTGTTTATTTAAAGCAACCAAGTAACAGTGTATTGGGTGATTATAGCACGTGGATAAATGAAATGAATGACAAGGGATGTAAGGGAGGAATTGGGGAATATTCTCATATAAGGTACCAGCACTACACATAAAGCAGTATGTGTTATTTGAAGGTGAACTTAGATAATTTTAAAATATATATTGTAAACCCTAGGGCAACCACTAAAAAAGTTTTTTTAAACCATAAATAATACACCAAGAGATGAGATAAAAATGGAATCGTATAAAATGCACAGTTAAAACCAGAGAAGGCAGAAAGTGAGGAGGAAAAGGAAACAAAGAATAAATGCAATGAATAGAAAACAATTATAAAGTGCTAAATTTTAATCCAGCTATATCAATAATCACTTTAAATGTGAATGGTCTAAACACACCAATTAAAGGACAGAGATTGTCAGGCTGGATGAGGTTCAGAAATAAGCCTCCACAAGCGACACTGTCCCTGGGGTATGTGGTGTCCTGTGCAACAGAAATACAGGGAAGAGGACCACGGAGGTCTGTGGGCAGATGGGTGATAGGGACGCCGTCTCGGGCAATGATGCTGGCCCTTCACCCTCCCAGGGGAATTGCTTCTATGTTGCAAAAAAGACGGAGCAGCAGCAAGACCATTAGTAATCTATTCACGTATGTGAGTAAGTGCATGGGAAGCAAGTCTGAGCAGATAAAGCCTCAATTCTTAATACTTATCTCTCATATGACTATCTTATGCCTTTCTGTGTGGTTTAAATTTTTTTAACTAATTATTTATTTTTCGCTGCATTGGGTCTTTGTTGCTTTGCTGTGCAGGCTTTTCTCTAGTTGCGGCGAGCAGGGGCTACTCTTCGTTGCGGTGCGCGGGCTTCTCATTGCGGTGGCTTCTCTTGTTGTGGAGCACGGGCTCTAGGCATGCGGGCTTCAGTAGTTGTGGCACGCGGGCTCAGTAGTTGTGGCTTGCGGGCTCAGTAGTTGTGGCTCACGGGCGCAGTAGTTGTGGCTTGTGGGCTCAGTAGTTGTGGCTCAGGGGCTCTAGAGCACAGGCTCAGTAGTTGTGGTGCACGGACTTAGCTGCTCCACGGCACGTGGGATCTTCCTGGACCGGGGCTCCAACCCATGTCCCCTGCATTGGCAGAATCCCCAATTCTTAACCCGTGAGCCACCAGGGAAATCCCTGGTTTAAATTTTTTACAGTGAGTATATATGATTTTGGGGGGGAATATTTATTTTTTGGCTGCAACACAGCATGCGGGATCTTAGTTCCCCAACCAGGGATCAAACCCATGCCCCCTTCAGTGGAAGCTTGGAGTCCTAACCACTGGACCAGCAGGGAATTCCCTATATGACTTTTCTAATGGAAAAAAATATGGAATATGGAAATGGCACCAAGAAAGGTAAGCTGTCACCCAAGTCACCGTGCCCCCCAAGCTGAGGGCTTGTGCTGAGCTGCACGATGAGGACACGCGGGCTGAGAGTCACCCGAGGGTCCATGCATCCCATTGTCGGAGGATTTGCTTACCGGTTGTCTCTGAGAACTTCATTCTGCCTCTGAATGTAGACAAAATAGAATCCAGGGGCTGTGGACAAAGCACCCAGCTGAGGTTTGTTAGAAGGCTGCAGAGCTGGACGGTTGGGAAGGGCAGCCCCAGGGCATCATAGACCCGGCCTTGGCTTCTGCCTGGCGAATGTCTATTTT